ATATATATATATATACTCACAGGCGGCGTAAAATATATATATATATATATATATATATATATATATATATACACACATTTTATATATATAAATATATATGTATATGTGGGTGGATCAGCTATTTAATGTAAAACAGTGTCCTTGTTTTTTAAAAAATCACAAAATTAGCAATGTGTACTTAAAGGCCGGTTTTGAAGCTTGGTAATCTAATCAGATTGTTTATAATTACGACTGTTTATTATAATGTTTAAAATTCCAAAATAATTAATTTAAAAAATGTCGTGACCTAGTAGTCAAAACATAGATGTCATACAAATTCCACCTGTCCCCAAGGCATACAGCACAATGAAACAACGATGTTGTCTAAAATTTTTCTTCCACTTGTCTGTATATGTAGTATCGGTAATGTGCTTTAATATACATGCATTCTAAATGTTGATTTGCGAGAGCTTTGATTTAGTTTTCAGTAAAAAAGAACACAGTTTGAATAGTTGTCCCATTTTTAACAACAAAGCGCATAGTCGCCTGGGTCACAACAAAGATAGTACCAACTAAGTGAAAGTGAGATAGATTGTCTATGGCTAAGCCGATAGGAAACCGATAGGAGCTTTACCAATCCTTAAGTTTATATGGATTCGGCCATTTAGCCCGTAACTCGCAGCGTGACAGCGTGTGTTTATTGTGCGTCTCCGGAGTGACGACGAAATTTCGGTAAGCAAATAACTTTTTATACAAATTTTATTTTCATATTTGGATATTTAAGTCTGAAATGCTTTACATGCATGTGTTACGTTATTTTCATAAAAATTGTTGAAGAAAAATAATTAAAAATCGTAGTTTGTCTTCAGACTGACTTCACGAAAACTGTAACTCAAGAGACAATTTTGGTGAACCCAAGTGATTTTCTGTACTAAAGATTCCGTTATAAGTAAATACAAAACATAATTAACTAAAGAGCCATTCATAAATGAAAATCTAAACTTAGCAAACGGAAATACTAATGGTGTTTTTTTGAAATTTTTGTTTATATACCGATATTTCAAAAATATACTCAAACTGAATGAAACTCGAGATATTTTTAGTACTTTTTTTAGTTAGAAAGCTAGAGCTTCTGTTGAATGAACGTGTCTCAAGCACAAATTCATTATACATTTTTAAAGCAATTGTTTTTTTATTTACAAACAAATTTAAATCAGTTTGCTTACGATTTTTTAATACTAGCATTACATAACCTAACTACATAAACTTAATTTATTGCCGTTACCATGCCATTATCGCAGCGGAGAGGCAAAGACGATGTAAGGAAAATATTAAAAAGGTCCCTGTAAAATATGAGGAATATAAAAGAACACCAAGTGTGATTCAATTTGGTTACTGTTTCTTTTTCCATGATTACTCAAGGTATAGAACCAGCGGCTGATTGTTAAATTTTTAAGATTTTTTTTATAAGCGTCATTATCCAACAAATCGACTTTACGTATGTCGTACAAATAATTGTGTCTCTTGAGTCACCTGGTATGTCTTCGGGCTCACAAATTGTCCCCGTTTTGTGTGATATTTTTTTGTGCAATTTTAATTTAACTAAAAAGTTATAGTACAAAGTTTTGTACATAGCAACCTTAAATAACGACGGTCGGTAGTTACATATTAAGTGCATCTTTTTTGTGTTTCTAGGAACAGAGTTATAAGAAAAGTTTTCCAGTTCATTTTACTCTGTGACTCCGGAGACACAATGTGATCTATTTTTAAAAGAATGAGGCTGTTTTTTTTAGTTATGATAGCGCCATATTGATTCATTAATATACTTATTGATATTAAAGTACAGTGACTGATTACAAAGTTGGTTTTTATTTACTTTTTGTCATAACTTATTTATGTTAGGTAGGAGACGTTATGAAGTGTCATTTCTGAAATATAGGCATACAACTACTGGAAAAACTCAACGAAGTTCGATGCTCGTTATAGATTTATAAACTACAGAAAATTATTTAGGAATATTAGGCGAAGATTGAGCAAAATAACAGAATTTGTTTTTTTTACACAAAAAGTTGATTGAAAAAATGGTATAGTCAGCAAGATAAAAGACAATTTTTACAAAACTTTTTTTATTTTACTTTTTTTTTACTCTACAAATAAGACTTAAGTAAAACCAAATTATAATCATATCAGTATTTTTAAATTTGGAACAGCTTTGTTTTGTGTTGTTAATAGAGAATATTATATATATAATCTATGAAATTAAATAAATAAAATAAATAACGCACACACTGGTAGCCCCGCACTAGGGAAACCCTGTGTCCAAGGTGCCATGGACACATACATAGACAACCACAAATTACACCTACAGTCACACACAAAATAGGCGCTTTGTCGTCGAGTTGCGGATACCAGCCCGTTGCACCAAGTACCAAGTACACCTACAGTCCCAAAAGAAACAAATATGGGCCATACAAATATTTCTTTCGACCCGGCAATCGAACCCGGCACTTCTATTTGGCAAACCAGCATGGTAACCGTTCGGCTACGGAGGCAGATCAGGAAATTTTTATATATTTTTGATTTTGAAATTTATATTGGTTACCTGCAATGTTTCAAATGATCTTAAAAATAAAACCGTAAAATGTATGAAAAATCATCTTCAATCAATTGTTTCATAGTAGACTATTTATGCAGACAAGTTGGTTGTTATAAATATGTAAAAGATGTACATGTGGTACCAATCCTTTGTCTTGTTTGTCTTTGCTTCTTTTTCATATGTGAAATAAGAACTATATGTATGTATGCTTATATTATATTGTAGCAATGGTTTGTACAAGTTGATAAGCAATTAATTTTAAAATCACTAAATGTAATTTGCATACTAAATGCATACTTACATATTTATCTGCTCTAATAGTGTACAATAAGGTATAACTTAGAATAACATTGGAGATTTTGAAATTAACTTTATATTACATAATGTAGTGTTATTTGTAAAATACTAACAACTTCGCAAAACTACATTACTTACATTTTTTGACACAGGGTGACGGGCGCAGTAGCAGTGCGTCTAAGATCTTCGCGATTTAAAGCTCTAAGTGGCACTGCAACTGTAATGGATAAGAAAGTCGCTTACCACCAGGCGCACGACTTGTTCTTTCCATCACTTGGTGTTATAAAAAAAAAGATTTTACTTTAATATAAAATTAAAAATATTTAAATAGATCTATAAACGGTAATAACTCTTATGTAAAACGCAGAAGCGCGGAATGGAGTCGTCGACGGGTAAGATGCTTACACAAGTTAAAGGAAACCACATTTTTTTATTTAATAAATAAATATAACATCAGAACCTCGTTTCATTATTTCAGACGAATGACGACCACTACTGGACATTAGTTCGTGCATCAGGAGGAGGGAGGCCTGTTAGTGGCAGCGACATTTGGCGTTTTGAGACTCTGGCATTCTGAGAATCTGGCATTGTGCTAATCTGACACTCTACCCGTTTGGCATTTTGGGTTCCTGGCATAAAGCGTCAAAACGACCTCACTACTAGATACAGATCTGAAAAGTGTACGAAACTTAAAAGTTTATTTTTGGTAAATTCATTATGTTTTGTAAAAGTTATGTAACAAAAGTTATTGCTTAACATGTTAATAATATAGTTCTGCTCGGTTGTTAGTATTTTACAAATAACCCTGACTGTATGAGGACAATGCAGTGCAATCTTGCTAACTATAACGTGTGTATCACAAAGAAATAAATGAATTTGAATTTTATATTACTTACTTGTAAATATTCATGTTCCCGCATGAATCCTTTGAGTGGGTAGGCCCAACCTTCCGATAATACCTGCAATTAACATGAATTCTAAAATAAAGCCTGTGAGTCATCAACAGTAAACATTGATGACGTGTATTTACATAGATAAGTATACATATATGTGGATCGCTATCAGTAAAATTTTGAGGTGATTCAGCGCGTGCATGGCGACATAATTTACAAAGCGTTGTAAATTATACTTTATCAGCATGTCGCATGCGCTAAAACGCCAATTAAAATTAATACCTCTTTCGATCCATGCCTGTATTTATATCCCAATCCAGTCACAGATTTGGCAACGTTCATGGAGTTATAAATGAATTATACTTCTCTTATCATATTTCGTATCATCCAAATTTAATATTTTTCGGTAATGAATATTTACCGAAAAGTTCTTAACTTTATTCCAAAAGACACAATTCGAGTGATGTTAATAGGCGCTCGTCGGATTTTTCGAGTCGATATGTCACGTGCGTCCATCTCGGATAATTTGGAACTCAATCATAAGGGTACCAAAATATTCATATTTTAATTTTGAAAACATAAATATCTACAGGAAAATTTACTACCATCATATTGTCTACATATATTGTATTTTAAGATTTATCACCGAAAACTATGTAAGTCCTACTATGGTACGAATTTTTTAAGGAGTGATAATAGTATTATTGAGAGTTTTTGTAATCTTAAAATAACTCCACTAACTTGTTATGATTAATAATATAAACACTCAAATTTAGAATTATTCAGCATTTTTTTCCATTTCATAATCATACTCCCGTAATCGAGATACTAATCCCAGTCGTTAACCAGTAATGAAATCGACCTCATCGTCACTTTCCATTAGGTAAGATGGAGGTCAAATGCACACTGATTAAATAAAGTTCCTTTCCCTTAGATATTAATTAGAGCCTTAGAAAAATACACGGAGTTGTCAAAATATGGATTGATGCAAATCTGTGACGAAACTTGAATTCAGCTGTCACAAATGTAATTTCATTGTGTCGCTTACGTTGGTAATATACAGATAACAAATACTGACCTGCACCCACTGCAAATCGAGAGTGGACAATTCAATCTGTGGCAGTCTACCGGCTTCTTCTATGGCACTCGTCAGCCGGTTCCCGTATATGAACAGCTCCTCCACTCCCCCCGTTTTGTTTTCAAAGTGGGGAATGATATCCTGAATGTAAAGTAGATAAATCAAGTAATTTATTTTAGTTCATTTAAATTTCAACCGTCGTCGTCGTGATGTGGAGTTCTAAGGGAGCAATAACTTTTAATCACAACTCGGAAATAAAATTTACAAACATTCGAGTTCTTAGGCTTTCGCGTTTACGCACATTGGAAATGTATCCATTTTTTCGCATCTAAATCGCGTTTGTTTATATTTCACACAAACCAACGTTTCGGGCCTTTTACAGGTATTATGGTCGGATGTGTAATGGAACATATAACAACAAATAATCTATTTTCACTTGGTATAATAACATTTGATATAATTTCTAAGGATATAATCACTCACTGTATATAATCAACAAAAGGTATAACAACAAAAGGCATAATTTCAATGTGTATAAGGAACCTTCAGTAAAACAAACACTAGATATAATGGTTAAGTTACATAATGAACAAATGGTGTAAGTACTACCAGTATAATACACACATCAAAAGTGTCTAGGGATCAAGTACGTTTAAGAGTATTGCTGCAATTAGGATTAATTATATTAACTTTTTTGTATCGCTATTGATACTTTTTAGTGAGTTTTAACATTTAAATAAGGAATATTGTTTAAAATTCGATAATAAGAAGAAAATCGATTGTCAATGTGGTTTTGTATAAAAATGAGTTATAGCGTTTTGACAAAATCATTACAATATCTGCATCGGAACCGAAACAATTTACTACAAAAAATTTAAATTTAAAACAATTTATTATTATGGAGAGACGACATCATTTAACCCGAGAAGTGATGATGCGAGCCGACGGAATGTTGGAAGCTGGTCCCAGGCAACGTGCTGTGGCTTTCACTCTTAACACTACACAGAGCGTCATAAGTCGCCTCTGGACGCGCTATCGCATGACGGGCAGCGTGGCCGAGCGACATGAAGGACGATCTCGCATCACGACTCGCAGACAGGACCGGTATATCCAAAATACTGCTCGACGGAATCGTACCATGACCGCCATGATGTTGGTTACGAGGCTCCACAGCTCCTCGGGCTTGCTAATAAGCGATCAAACAATCCGAAATCGTTTACGTGAAGTGGGTCTGCGATCCCGAAGGCCGCTCAGAGTTCCACCTATTGCACCCTGCAATCACAGGACCCGTTTACGATGGGCTCGCGAACACAGAAACTAGGAGGAAGACGACTGGCGCTATGTGTGCTTTTCGGATGAATCCCGCTTCGGTATGAGACCGGATACAAGACGTACTCGAGTTTGGAGAACATCTGGACGTCATGAACGTTTGAGATATTGTCAGGAAGTTCATCCATATGGTGGGGGAACAATAATGATATGGGCCGGTATTTGGATCGGCGGAGGAACCGATCTCATTTGGATCAGGGGTAACCTCAATGCTCAAGATTACGCAGAGAGGATTGTTTCAGATGTTATCATCCCTTTGCGAGGCCAGTTGGGTGATTCATTTCAACTAATGCATGATAACGCACGTCCACACACGGCTAGAGTCGTAACACGCATTCTTGCCGAAACTCGTATCAACGTTCTGCCGTGGCCTGCTCAATCGCCAGACCTCAATCCAATTGAGCACGCATGGGATATGCTTCAAAGAAGAGCTGTGCCGAGTATGCATACCGTACATACTCTACGACAATATTTTGACTTGTTACAAAACATATGGGCGGCCATTCCTCAAAGTGATTTTGATGAACTCATCTTAAGCATGCCAAATCGCTGTAATTGTGTGATTCGTGTTAATGGTGGAAATACAGACTATTAATTTTCTTATCTTTACAATAAAAATGAGCAAAATCATCATTTTCGCCATTTTTTTGTCATTTAATTGACGCCGTTAATTTGAGTTTTTTCCCACAATTTGCAAAAACATCAATTTTAGTTTATTTTTATTAAATATAGGGGTAAGCGGTTAAATAAAACATAAGCATTAAAGTAAGAAGTCGTCCTGGAAGACTGGATTTGGTAAATATTGCTTAAATAATTTTTATTTCGAAAATATTCACTTGATCCTTAGACACTTTTGATGTGTGTATATTAAATAATACAAAATATTGAATTTTACGAATAGTTGAAGCACCCCACATTATGTAGATAAGATTTTTTTAAATTTCATTAAATGTACAATCGCAAATGGCGATGGCGTTCCCGCTATTGTGCGCTCCCGAGTTGGCTCCGGTCTTAACACGCATCTTCTCGTTTTCGTACCACTCAGGTAAAGTCCCGTCTTCATGGAAGATAGCCTGCGTTCACCCCATACCCAAGAAGGGTGACAGTACAGACCCGTCCAACGATACGCCTATAGCGATAACCTCCTTGCTCTCCAAGGTGATGTAGCGTGTAGTAAACAACCAGCACTTAGATTACCTCGAGGATCGCCAACTTATTAACGACCGCCAGTATGGCTTTCGCCGCGGTCGTGGTGCTGATGATCTTCTTGTGTATCTCACGCACCAATGGGCAGCTGCCATCGAGAGCAAGGGGGAAGCAATGGCCGTGAGCTTAGACATCGCTAAGGCTTTTGATCGTGTCTGGCACAAGGCACTTTTGTCAAAGTTACCATCATACGGGCTTCCAAAAGGGCTGTGCACTTGGATCGCCAGCTTCCTGTCTGAGCGGAGCATAAAAGTCGCTATCGACGGATTATTCTCGGACACCATGCTCATCAACGCCGGCGTTCCGCAAGGATCTGTGCTATCACCAACCCTGGTCATCCTGCATATCAATGATATGTTATCAACTAGTAGCATTCATTGCTATGCAGATGTCAGTACCGGTGATGCCTATTATACAGGTCGCATAAATATGCCTCACCAACAAGTGGAACAAAACGGACGGTAACTTGTATTTAAAATCGAGACTTCTTTGGAGCAGGTCTCAGAATGGGGCCAACAGAATCTAGTACAATTTAACCCCGCAAAGACACAAGTGTGCGCGTTTACCGCTATAAAATCCCCACTCATAACAGCGCCAAAGTTCCAGAACACTGCCCTTACCATCTCAAAGAGTATTGGGATACTTGGAGTCGACATCACGAACGAAGTCCAGTTCCGGAGTCATTTGGAGGGCAAATCCAAACTGGCTTCAAAATACCTCGGAGTGCTCAATAGAGCGAAGCAGTACTTCTCTCCAGGTCACCGACTTTTGTTATATAAAACACAAGTACGGCCCCATGTGGAGTATTGCTCGTATCTCTGGGCAGGAGCTCCCAAATACCAGCTTGATCCACTTGACTGCATCCAACACAGGGCTGTTCGTATTATCGATGATCCCAAACTCACAGACGTTATGGAGCCCCTTAGCCTACGGAGAGACGTTGGCTCTCTGTGTTCGACCGTCTTTATAATGGGGAGTGCTCTGAGAACTTTTCGAACTGGTGCCACCGTCTCGTTTCTACCATCGCACCTCCCGCCAAAAGAGTAAAGTTCATCCCTACCTCTTAGATTCCTGGTATTGTAAGACCACGGGGGGATCTCGTTCGTTTCTTTCTCGAAACTGCAAGGTGTGGAATGATCTTCCTCCTGAAGTATTTCCTTTGCGCTATGATATGAGGTTCTTCAAAAAGCGTGTTTACAGAGCTCTCAAAGGCTGGCAACGCAAAGGCAGCTCATCTGATGTTCCAAATGTCCATGGGTAACGATGACCACCTCCTATCAAGTGGCTCGTCTGCTCGTTTGCCTCCTTCATTACATTAATATATATATATATATATATTTAATTCTTTTTGTATAGCTTTAAGTGCTTTTTGTGTTATAAAATATAATTATTAAAACTTTAAGCAGAATATTTAATTGCATATATTAACCTAACCGAAACCCACAGGAGGTGTTCGAACCAACTAGCAAATGCAAACAAAGTCGGTTCATTCACCGTTGCACCTAAACACCACTTTAATTATATTAATTATTTTTTTTCACTCATATATTCAACATTATACTCAGTGAATATTAGTTGTTATATCAATCGTCTATTATGCACAGTGGCCTTTATATTATGCAAGAATATGTCAAATGTCTGTATACCATAAATTAATTGTCTGTTGAGCGTTATATCGACTAAAAATATGTCATTTGTTGTTATATATTACGAATCGCACCCTTTATGGTCACGACTGAGTTGGTAAAATCAAACAAATGTTATAGATTAGTAGTCGCTCGGATTTTAAAAAATTACATCAAATAAGTTTGTTCTTGTGTTTATGGTTTCAACAAGAGTACCTCAAATTAAAAATTTCATTCCCATTTCATAATCATACTCCCGTAATCGAGGTACTAATCGGCGATACTGGTATAAAAATATCAATATGTATAAGTACTGCATTTCACAAAGTTTATTTCAAAGTAGTACGACAACTGTAATGAACACCTTAATTTTTATCTAATTATGTTACCAATCTGTAGGCATAACTAAAAAATTGACCTCAAAAGTCATTTATCCCCAAATTTGCCACCCTTAGAGGTGGAATATTTTCTTCAAATTTAAATGGGAGGTAACCTCAAAAAAAAGAATTATCAAAATCGGTTCACAATAAGTCGGTTAAAAATAATAATGTGATTGCCTTAGAATAATAACGCATAGAATGATAGTTTCATAAAAAACGAACTGTCACAAGTGAGGCAAAAATCAAATTCAGTAGGCGTAAGCTACTTGTATTTACGCTCGTCGGCACGCACACAAATATAAAAATAATGATGCCATGGAATAACATTTCCCTCAAAAGTGGGGAAATTGTATCTTGCTTAACTCATCGTTAAGTTAGAGGTGCCTACAGATTTGCTCGATTTTGTCGATCGTTACTGTCGATCAGGTGCCTACAGATATGCTCGATTTTGTCGATCGTTACTGTTGATCGACAACGTCAAGTGACAGGAATTTTCAAAAATTTATTTTTGGTAATCCTTATGGAAATGGCATTTATATCTGAATACACGAAGGCGGACACGACTTTTCTCATTTCTAAATCCAAGATGGCGGACACGTCTTTTCGAATAAATGCAATATGGAAATCGTTTTCGAGGTATTCCAGGTGCTCATCACGAATATGGCATTTATTTCTAAATCCAAGATGGCGGACACGACTATTGAAATAAATGCAATATGGGTATCATTTTCGAGGTATTTGGGGGTATTGGGGGTACTCATTACGAATATGGCACTCATTTCTAAATCCAAGATGGCGGGCACGATTTTTCATATAATGGCAAGTTGGGGATCGTTTTCGAGGTATTTGGGGGTGCTCATTAGGAATATAGCACTTCTTTCTAAATCCAAGATGGCGGACATGACTTTTCAAATAATAGCAAGTTGGGTGTCGATTTCGAGGTATTTGGGGGTGCTCATTAAGAACATGGCATTAATTTCTAAATTCAAGAGGGCGGGCACGATTTTTCGAATAATAGCGAGTTGGGTGTCGTTTTCAAGGTATTTTCATTCCGAATATAGCACATGGCAATGAATGCAATGGCAAAGAATTAGAAGTCTTGTCTCCCATCTTGTATTCAGATATACATGCCATTTCCTTACCAAAAATACATTTTTGAAAATTGTTGTCAACCATCTTGGATTTAGAAATTAATGCTACATTCGTAATAAGCACTCTAAAACTCCTCGAAAACGTCTATAATTCTCAATCGTTACTGTCGATCGACAATGTCGAGCAAATCTGTAGGCACCTTATTAAATATGCGACACATGCGATATGCGAACATGCGACAGTTGCACTATGGTAACAGTTTAATTTTAATTCACAAACATTACACAATTAAAAACAACTTTACTTCTAATACAATTTAGGTCAATACTAGATCCATTATTTGAATGTCAAAAAACAATTTGTCGCCTTTAATGATTTCTGTACACACGTGGTCCGCCCGCACTGCACGCGCTAGTAATATGAGAACATATCTGCATTTGCAATATTTTGTTCATTGCAAAAATGTACCTGTAACTCGAGCATACGGATGACGTCCATGGTGGACTCCTCAATGCTACGTCCGACTGTCCGGACCACCAGCTCCGGCGCCTCGGGACGCTCATACTCTTGGGTGATGCCTGTAAAACCCTACAAGGGAAACAAATGAAGTTCTTTATACTGTAAAAACCAAATAATTAAATCAGAAAGGGAAAAGATAAAACATAGGGATCAAATACGAAGCCGTTGTAGCCAAATGGTTTGATCTACCGCCTCTCAAGCAGAGGCTGTGGGTTCGAATCCGAATTTTTAACGTGCGAAATTTCATTTTAAAATACCATGAGCTTTTCGGTGAACGAAAACATCGTTAAGAAACCTGCACACATCTGTAAAGCAATTTAATGATACGCGTGGGAACGACAGCCCAAGCACTCACATTGTGTGAGGAGGCCTGTGCCCAACATTGGGACCTATTTATAGGCTGTAGATAGGCTTAGGGATCAATTTTGGGATCCTAAAAAAGGCTTCATAACCAAACTTCATAACAAAACCTGGGAGTCTACTCTCGTTCTCGGCACATAGTTTTTTAATTTGGTCGAGTATTACTTATTTGACAGTAATTGTTTCGGAGGAATGTCGGACGGAGAAAGAAAGTACAGGGCCTGTTTTGGGACTGGCGTTTAACCAATAGTTCTACCGCATATTTTTTTGGAAATATCACCTTTATCTGTCCGTCTCTAGCCTTCTTGTAAAGGCCCTTAGTGTCTCTCTGCTCACACACTTCCAAAGGAGTATCGATAAAAACCTCGAAGAAGGGCAGGTCAGAGTCTGTATGAGTGCGTCTAGCTACTTCACGATCCTAGAAACAAAAATAATAATAAATAACACACACATAGACAACAAATAAATTACACCCAAACTCACGAGATAAATAAATGTAGGCCATACATATATTCCTCCCGGCCCAGAAACTAGCACAGGAAAGTGAAATTAGTTAAGTATTTAGTAGCAGTACAGCTTCCTATGAAAGAGTTCGTCCAGGGATATCCTGTTGAGAAGAAGGGCTAAGGTTACTGGTGAAAATATAAGCACATAAGACTTGACAACTTATGTCGCAGGGTGGACTCAGATGTTTGCGACTAAAAGCTCTGAACGGCACTGCAACTATTATGAACAGGCGTGTCACTTACCATCAGGTGCACGACTTATTCGTCCCGTCACTTGGTATCATAAAAAAAGATTTGGTAAAATTATCAATATAGAATTAAATGTTCTTCATATTCTACATCTATAGATCGTACAAAGATCCGCAGAGAGCGTACAAAAAAAAACATGGGAGAGGGCTACAAGAAAATTATGACGAATAGATTTTACCTCTAAAGTATAGCACACGAAATAAACAAAACCTTTTCCTAATACAGTTAATTTTTGTAAAAGTTGGAAAAGTTGTAAAGTTGGAAATTCGTAAAAACCCGACTCGTCATAAATTTGTAAATTTTGTAAGTACTTAATCATCATAACTAAGTAATTTGAAACATTTTACCTAACATAATAACGATCTAATTATGAAAACTAATTAACTATCCCAAATCGATAAAATGGGCACTAATTACCGAGTCCGTTACGGTAACATTTGAATGACTACTACTACATTTTTAGAACGCAATACAATGGTCTGATATTAAACAAAATCATATAACATATATTTTTATAAAAATTGTGTGTGTATTGTACACAAAATACATTACAACCATTAGGTCAATGACTACAACTAACTTTATAAACAAGCCATTTACCGCCATTTTGAAGAAAATAGTTACTGGCCCTAACCAAAATATTTTATTTGTAAAAAACTTTACAAACTTTAAAAATTATAGTAATTGAAATAACCAGAGAATATTAACTTAAAATTATAATAACTCCCTATGAAATGAGTGATTAAAAATATAATTGTACCTTTTTTGTACAAAAAAAGACCTCAAAAATTCGTGGAATTACATCTATTTGCTAAGTTTTATTGAAATCGGTTACCGGAAAGTGCGCGAAACCGGATTCAGCCCTTAGTTTGCCACCCTTAGAAGTGAAATATCTTTTCAAATTTAAATGCAACAAATACTGATGTACCCTGTTTCCAACAAAAAAAAACATCAAAATCGGTTCACAAATGCAGAGTTATCGCGTAACATACATAAAAAAAATACAGTCAAATTGAGAACCTCCGCTTTTTTTAAATCGGTAAAAAAAAACTTTCATAAGCTCCTCACAGGTGACGCTAAAAATCTTCAACAATTCATATGGTTAATATAATCATTATAAGGTCGGCTGACTTGATCGGCACCTCAGTTGGTTCAAGTCCAGTTGGATCGAAAGAATTTTCCTTTGTTTTCGTTCGATGTGTCCATGCCGTTCCGTGCCTTTACAATGTACAGATGTAAATATAATTATGCTTATCAAACTTTTTTTTGACGCAGTCTTGAACCGTTCCTGATATCAGTAACTTCAATAACATCAAGTGACGGGACGAACAAGTTGCGCGTTGCCTGATGGTAAGCTACACACCTCTCCATAACAGTTACAGTGCCACTCAGAGCTTTAAATTGCAAAGATCTGAGGGGCACTACCACTGCGCCCGTCACCTTGAGACATAAGTTGACAAGTCCCATGTACCTGTAATTTAACCAGCACCCTTACCCTTCAAAACCGGAACACAGTAATGCTGACATTACTGCTTGGCGGCAGAAATAGGTAAAGTGGCATTACTACCTTGGACGAACCCTTTCACAAGGAGCCCTACTGTTACAAAAATTTTCAGGTCAGTTTACTGTATCTAATTTCGGTACATCATATAGATATTCTAGAATATTATCATGAAGTATTATTTAGTGTTCGATAGTAGTATCCTAAAATATCATTTAATGTTTCATGATATACTTGAACATTTTAATAATAAAAATAGTCACCGAAATTAAGTAAAAAACGAGAAAACTAATCTGAAAATTACCCAAAACCACATTCTAGGGTGATTAATAATAGGGTTATTAATAATATTTTCAGTATCAAACCTAAAGATTTGTAATGAACACTGCCGTGACAGATCAAATGTCATGCTAAAAATATATAGGCAGTTAACTCTGGTTAACTCCGTAATAGTAATTTCAAGCGTGTAACTACGAACAATAAACATCATAATTGCTTTGAAAATTGTAAGGAGTGTATCTAATAAACGGTAAACGCGGAAATTAGTCACAAGTGATTGTTCTATTTAGTAAAGTATTTTTATAATACGCATTATGTTATGTCTTTCCTTTTAATAAGAAACCGGTTTCTCTAAAGTTTAATGACTTTATATCTGGAATTGATAAAGAGAGCAAAAGTCACTGTCCTTTTTTAAATAATAATATACTTAGCATCACTTCTAAACTGTATTAGTTTAGCGTGTACTGTAACAGTACTTAGAAAATGAAAGTAGCAAGTGCGGTCTGACTTATGGTTTTCGGTTGCAAATAAGTTTGTTATGCACATAATATCTCGTTATGAGGCAACTACGGTTGATGGAAACTTTAAGGATAAATTGAGGAGGTCAACATCACAGTGACGTTATATTTGGGATTACCGTTTCAACCTGTCTGCCAAACGTATTTATTTTTGTATATTTTTTTAAATGGACGTTACAGTAGAACTAATTTAAAAGACTAATGTAGAGAGTACAAAACACTAATCGTTGACGTTGGTCATAAAGCCGCGATCTTAAAATGGAACTGAGCCGGACACGTCTGCCGCATGTCAAACGAGCTGTGGACAAAGACCACCACGGAGTGGATACCACCAAACGCAAGACGAAGCCATGGAAGACCCAGATCGAGTCTAAAACGCGACTAAGTGACAAAATATTTTTTTGAGATATCATAAAAACCATAACCCGGTGAATTTCACTTTCCGAATTTCAATGGCACTTTTTGAGTGATTTTTGTAAAGCCCTTTTTTCTTTTGGTTTCAAGGTCTTAAAAGTACAAATAAGTTCAAACAACGTTAATAATTATTAAATCACAGAAATATCTAAGTGAAATACAAAAAAATACGATATTTTAGGCCACACGAATGAAATTGCAGGAACACGAATGATTTTGTCATAAACATAAATGAGAAAAACGGCACAGTCATGAGCAATTATTATTACAGCACACATTTTATCGTTCACAAACATTGACTTACAAATAAATGGACGACGGGTCTAATACAAAAACCACGAAAAAAATGTCCCAAGTCAACCTATTCGAAATTTAAATTGTAATGTCATCGCAGTATCGCGCTGTCAGTCGAACAAATGAAGACTAAGGCGGAGTTTGGCGCTCTGTATACGATTTTAGCGCCTTACAAGTGCGGACACTTTTTAGCGCGGACCCGACGTCCATATAATTGTAAGTCAATGTTCACAAAAGAACATTTAACAACATTTAACACGTAGCAAATATTTTAATACCACTTGTATTAAAATCCTCTCATCCGTGTCCATCTATAAGTAATAAATAATAATTCTAAATAAGTATTTTGTTAATGTCATATAATCTTTATTGTACATCAATATATCATCATCACCATCATCATTATCATGATCACCATTATCATCAACACCATTACCATTCACATCATCATCATAATCATTATAATCATCATCATCACCATCATCACCATGTTCATCATCATCATCACCACCATCAGCATCATCATTCTATTTTGCTAGTTACATGAGTGACAGACAGCAGTGCGTTGAGTATGGCGGGCACCTGTCCGAACCATTTGACGACAAAGGTCAAGTCTGGGGTAAATCAGGGCAGCAATCTTGGACCTGTCCAGTTTGTGATAATGATTAATGACCTACCGGGGGTTATCCAAAAGTAACAATGCCTCCTGTTTGCAGTTGACCTGAAACTATTTCTCCCGATCAATAATACCGCGGACTGTATATTATTACAAAATAATATCAACAACGTAGTGTCATGGAGTGAGCAAAATAATCTACAGTTCAATACTTCTAAAAATGTGGTACGATTTCTTATGCTCGAAAGCGTAATCCTATTTGCTACGATTATAAAATAAACGCCGCAACACTGCAGAGGGTTAACGAAGTAAAGGACTTGGGAGTTCGTTTTACGGCAGAGTTGAAGTTCCAGAATCATATAATTAGTATTTGTAAGAAAGCATATAGAAATATTCATTCTACGTACAGTTAGTGGTTTTACAAATATAAAGGCAATAGAGGCATTGTACAATATCTTGGTTAGAAGCCATCTCGTATGTAATGCACTTATTTGGGGTCCAAGTGAAATTAAATAGAATGTAATGTTTGAACGCATACAAAACAAATTTACAAGATATTTATATTTAAGGCTATACGGGATATTTCCTTTCTATCCTTTGATGTACCGTAACCTATTTATCCTGGGTATGGTGGGGTACAACGAAGTGGGGGTACGCAGGGAATTAGCATTGGTTTTGTATGTGTTTCAATTGTTAAGAGTTTAAGACATGCAATGCAGAGGATTTGAGTCGTGTGGGTCTTTGCGTTCCTGATGGGTATGTGGGGCACCGGCGCCGGCCTCAATTGTTGGCGTCCTCGTGGGAGAACCAACCTGCTGGACAGGGCACCATTGACGCGAACGATAACGACTTTGAACGTTATTCATGGGAAAATTGACCTATTTGCCTGTTCTCTGTGTGTGTTCAATAAATTAACTTTATTTGTAATATGTTATGGTATATAATATTAGTTTGTAATTTAATATGGTATAATATAATTTTAGTAGATACAATAAAAAATTTTAATATAATGTTAATCTTTGTAAATAACGTTGAACAAGTGATCATTTTGGCTACACTATTGCATTGGGTTGGTCCTGTAATGATAGTTGCTAGCTTATGTATGTAAAATAAATAAAAATAAATAAATCATCACACTAAAAAATTATACACCACATGTATAATTTTTTTCTTCTTTTCTTAAAATTAGGGAGACGTGGAACCGGCTCCCATGAATACCCACTTTTTAAATTTTATTTTATTAGTGTGGCGTAGTATTTTTATGTGTAACACAGACTAATTAAACAAGCAATCATATTATTAAATAAATAATGCTTAGCATTCGTGTAATAATATAAAAGTTATTAAAAGGGCCACAGTTTGTGAGGTTATATGAAAACAACTCAACCGTTTTCAGAATATTGAAATTGTTAACTAATTTTAACTGTGTTCAAAAGAGAATTTTGTGCTCCATTTTTTGCTATTTAAAAGGGTTATTTGACCATTTGTCACTCAGCTGCGTTTTAGGTAGTGGGCGGCAGAGATGGCGGCAGAGATGGCGTGACGAACTGGACGCGTATATGATGCCTTAGTTTGTAGCGGCGTAAACTCGCTGAGAGTGGAAAAAGTGAAGGTAGGCCTTTGACAATAATGGCTGAAAAATGAAATGAATGTAGAGTAACTAACCTCAGCGAAGGGCGATACGAAACTGCACAAGCAGACTACTCCACTATCAGCAAACAGCTTGGCCACTTCTGCCACTCTTCGAATATTTTCCTCACGATCTTCCTTGCTGAAGCCTAGGTTTTTGTTGAGACCAGTTCTGATGTTGTCTCCATCCAAGCCGTACGCCGGAATACCTGAGAAACAAACGCTTTTTACAGAAAACATGGAAAATGTCACATTTGTTGAGAGAAATTACAAAAGACACGGGCAGCTAACATGTATATTAGAAAACTATTTCTTTACAACTTTATTATAAATTTTAGCCAAAAACAAGACCTTTGTTTCTTGTTTGTTGATGTCCTATTGTGTCTAGCGTACCAATTATTGTCCTTGATATAGTTCACTATGAACCTTATACGGGCATCAAAAATCCAGCTCTAGAACACCTATTATAGACTAGTGTTGACTACAATATTGTGATGATTTTACAAGGAACTGAGTAAATTATTTCACACATTTGAAATTAAATCCTATTCAAAATATATGTACTCTGAATTCTAGACATTCGTAAGATCAATAGTTTTTTCTACGTGAAAATTAGGTTTATAGATATTATTGTCGCGCAGATTTTGCAAGCTTTTTGCTTAAAAAATAACTCCTATGTTTTGTTTCTTAAATAAACATCCAATCAGCGACTTAAACGATGAAATTCGTATTTAATAGTCGGTATTTAGCATAGCACTACGTCATCAATTAACTTAACTACATCCCACCAACAGCCTTGTTTAACTTTTTAGGAATATACCTCTCTGTAGAAAAATACAATCGGTCTCTGTGGTAAACATATTGATTACGTGAATTACAAGATCAAGTATTTTAAACAATGAAAAAAGCAGTTTATGTCTATAGTGAAGAAAGATTCCCTGGCGATATCAAGTAGGTAAACCTAATAAATCTATCAAAATTCTCTTCTCTATCTTTTATCCCACTAGATCGTGACGACAATTTATCGGTACACAGCAGCCGCCTTGTCATTTGCACGACAGATTCGTTTGAAGCAACGATTCTCTGTCGTCACATTTTTATCGTGACGTTTCATTTATCGTCTGACGAGTGTCGTTCTAGCTCTAGCCATTGTCACGATAGTCTGTCGTCGTAATGTCAAAAAAGTCGTGAACGACAGTTAATCGTGTAGTACTATATGTGAACAACTTCATCTAAATATACAATCCACGACACTTTAAACTGCACGACTATCTGTCGTCACGACATAGTGGGAAAGCGCCCTAATTTACGCGATCACTAGCGGCAACTGTCACACTAAAGTCGTGGTAGAGTTCTTTTATTTTTTATTTCCTTCCCCTAAGTGGTAGAGGCACAGGTTCTGTAATTTAACTTTTTTTTCCATCCTATGTTTGTACCAGTGCCAAAACGGGAAAACTCTACGTAGAAGAATTGTCGAAAGCTCCATTTTTTTAAATGTCAATCTATAAGCTAAATAATGGACTGACGACTTGGGTATGCCTATTTTTTTTATGAAAAGAAGAAAAATTTACCAAGACTTGCTGTATGGTGTCAAACCTTTGCCTTTTCCTTTACGGATGAAAGGGAAAAAACAACAACAACAATCATTGACCTACAGTCAATTCGGGTAACTTTGAACATTTTTTGCGTTTTTCTAATAATTTCAAATTTAATTATGTTTCTTAACAATTACTTTATTAACTGAATAGTGTTCTTTTAAGCCCTTTTTTCGTTCTTATAGAAGGAATTTAGTAATTATTCAACAAAACTGTTCTAGATTTGCTCCAAAAGTCACATTCAAAGTTGCCTTGAATTTTGGGTAACTTTGAATAAGATTAGCCTTCGATATGGAAACCGTATATTTTCTAGATATTTTACAGTTTGTGTAAGATTATACGACATATTCATATTTTTTAGATGTGATTCAGTCCAAATATTCCTGACAGTGCGTTCAAAAACGACATTTGACTTGGTATTGCCATAATAAAACGAGACGAACTAATTTAGTTGAAATGAAAAACTTGTTTATTTTTAGATTTTTTAATTAATGCGAATAAAAATGAAAATTTTTTGTTTAATAATAAATTCTACGCTTATTTAGCTATCAAACGAGATCAAAATGAATCACCTATAACAAATATTTTAGGCAAAGTAAATACATAACAAAAATCTATTCACCCCACTCCTTAAATAAAATGTCGTCATCAATATAAATACGGCCGCCTTTTCTAGATAGCTGTTACTCTTTTATAATATTCATAATATCGGCTTTATTAACTTGACATGTCTCAACGTTAGAGGGCCAAGACCAACCTCCTAAAAAATTTTTTTGGAGCACTGAGACAGTAATTTCCAAAGGAGTAACTTTTAGAACTCTCCCTGGAAACAGACTACCCTCTTCTCTAAAAACACAGTCAAATACATTCAAAGTTATCCAAATTTCTCTGTTTGGTAACGTCGTCAAAATCTAATTCGTTTTACGCGTAAATACAAAATCAAATTAAATTATTCTTTAAAAAAGCGATATATATACACCTCTATTTAAGTGTGGAAACCAAAACTTACCAGTCAATATTCAGATTTATATATTTAATTTCGATTCTAAAACTGAGCAACAAATCACACCAAACTACTTTCGCCAAGAAAAAACCGCGAAAATTTAAAAAAATACAATTTAACATTACTTTTTTCTTTCATAACTTTCGTTTAACAATTTTGTTCCGATTTACACAGTTTCAATACTAAAAATAAAAGATCGCCATACATAAAATAAATTTTTAAATCTTTTACGCAACTACGTTCAAAGTTACACCACGATTCAAAGTTACCCGAATTGACTGTACCAAAACAATAATAATTAATTGCGAAGTCCAACCATAGACGTATTAATCGTAACTGTCATCAATTAATGACAGTTACGATGACTTTCATAAACTTGAATTTGAATACAACAAAGCCATTTTAAAATAACAAAATTATACCAAAATAAGTAATCATTCATCAACTAAAATATCTGACTGTGTGGTGGTAAAACTCACCTCAATACAATGAAATTTGTCTAAGAGTAACAATTACTATTGTACCGCAATAACTATGTCGCAGCGAATAATCGTTTCAGGTGTTTTAGTCGGAGTTACTTTGGGGGCTTATTACTTCAAGATATTTCAAGATCACTAAATAACAAAGTTTAAACAAGACATAAAACGCACAACTCTCCAAACATTTACTTGCACAATGACTTTGAACTGGCCAGAATCAAGACCTTCATTGTCATAATCCAAGTTTAAGAAAAATCAATCAAAGCATGTAATTCAAAAATTCCTTCTTAATTTACTCATGTCCAAATCCACAATAAACGCAAATCCGATCAATCCATCAGTAAAATCAAAATGCTGGATAAAAAGAAATTGATTCAATTTCTTCTAGGCTTCATAGTTGGTTTTGTGCTAGGGTCATTGACGTGTACATCCTGTCAACAACATATCACACGATAGCGGCCAAAAACAAATTGTATCTCAATTTAAATAGCATCCAAAAAGTACAAGCAGGATAAATCAACGCACACATTGCATCAGATAATGGGAATGAAACAAAAAGTGTACAAAAGAAGGTGCCAATGCCGGACGAATGCCAAACGAACATTGATGTCTACGTGTCTGTGGCACTGATTGATCATCTAGGATCTTGGACGACTTGGTATACACAATTGCTGTTGTCTAAAGATGAATGGAAAACTGTAATTAGTTAGTTTATTTATTTTATAAAAGCTAAGAGCCTCTTTACCCTGTTACTATTTTGAACTTCAACAGCAATATTTTACCTTGAAATCTATTATTCATTGGTACAATTAAAAATACGATTGTTTGTGTTGCAAAATTTATTTGAGATCATAAGTTACCTTTAGAGACCAAATAAGCTTCAAGAGCAAAAGCGATGCTCGTCTTGCCGGCACCACTGAGACCGGTGAACCAAACCGTACTACCACGGAATGCCCTGCTGCCGAGTGCTTTGCTCCTTTTGGCTCTCGACACCTGGTGTTTCTGTTCCACGACATTTGTTGCTACTTGGGCGCACTGAAACAAACAGTTTTGTTAAAAGTAATAAAAGCGTACGTCGAAAATACAGATTTAAGATCTGTTTATTTGTACCAATGTTAAGTTACTTTGTATAGCTTTCAGCAATTCATCTTAATTTAAATGAGATTCAAAATAGACGTTTTAACGTGTTCTATTCTATTCTGTTTCCTTAATGGCGGCCACTAGGTTTGGGCCAGTGTCAGTTTCGATTAATGTTGTCAGTTAATATTGTTCAATAACGTCAACGTTTCGGTAGCAGCATGGTATTTGTTTTTAGATGAGTCCCTTCGACGGAATGCTGTTGTGGAGATCATACCTGGGATTTAAAAAAAACAATCATGGACAAACAACGGACTTTAGCATTATATTATTAGAGCGTATAAAATCACACAAAATGTTAATAAAGTGTGAGTACACATAAAGAAGAAGGAATTTAAGGTTAATAGGACGAGGAATGGAAGAAGGAGGTCATACAAGTCAATTTAGGACATTCAAAGAAAATATGATCAAGGGCACCCTCTCCCAGACCACATTCACACAAAGAGTTGTCTCTGACACGGATTTTATTGAGGAACACAGGGGAACAAGTGTGGGCCAGTCTCAATCTACAGATCGTAGAAGTAAAGCACTCAGGAAATGGATTTTTCGACGTTTAATAATAACATTTTTTTTAGTTTCATAACTTAGAGGATGAAAAAAAAATTCATAACAGCTTCGTTTTGTGCATGTCAGTAAAGAGATTGCGTCGTATTTGCAACCTACTTTATGAATGTTTTTGACTGAAACACTAACCGCGAAAAGCCAAGATTTTTTTTTATCGGAATTTGTTAATAATGGAAAAATAGTCTAAGGTCAAGTCTTTTTATCCATCTTCTAAGAACTAAGCATACGATAGGTTAGATACTGATACTGACACTTTCGGCGATCGCCATAATTTTTATATAATTCTTACAAAACTAATACTGGACCAAGCCTAGTGGAAATAATAATATCTCTAAAATTTATTTAATTCATCTAAAAAATTATTTTTTGCGACCAATGTTAACATTCTTCCTCAGTTAGTTGCATAAACAGTGCATTACGTAAAATAAAACTTTTACGCATACATTTTGCACGTTAAGATTAAAATTAACATCGGGAAATGACAATTGACAAAATGTGGAAAATGACAACCGTTGCCCAAGAATATTGTCGACACTCTAAAAACTTCCTGCTGATTGAGCATAAATAAATAAAGTTATTTATAATTTTCAAGTCCAAGGATTCTCATTAAAAACACCGGAAACCTTTAAAACGTTGTAAATGCCTGAATAGGCGTAATAACTTCACTAGGTATATAATTAAATTTGGCCTTAGTTAAAGGTGAGATGAAAAAATAATCCAACAATGTCATATTCATTTTGCATCAATTAAACGTGCTGTAACAATATTCTTTATGCTTTAATTGTTATGATATGACCACAGAACAATAAATACAGTAGAATAACTAACCACGTTAGCGTCTGACGCGTGCCAACTTTAGGTCTCGAAAGACCTAACTGAGCTCAGTCCGCCATTTTCGCTTTGTATGGTATGATCGTGTCGTTCTTTCGTGCAAATTCTCTAAAATCTTAGGAAAATGCCTTATACTTTTGGCCAAGGCTGTATGTTTGTTGCAGATAGGTGTAGCAAGTTGCATAATGTCATACTTGTTGTGTGGCTGCTGACAGAGCTACTGTCCATATGGTCTTAGGCTTATTCAAAGGTACAAGATCTTCCCACTGAGCCTCCAAATAAAAAAGTTTGAAACAACCAACCGAAATCTACTATTGTAATACCGGACTTATATGAGAGCTATGGAAACAGAAAGTAGATGCTTTATTCAAGGATGCCAGAAAACAGTGACACAGAGTTCCACTTTCTGCTAGAAAAATGTTGTTTAGTCAGTATAAATAATTATATCCCTGGGAATAATCGTGTTTATGATTGACGTTTGATTATTGAAGCAAGGATCTAGACAGAAACAGAATTCCACCGCAAAGCATATCCAGGACGTGATGTTGCTATAAGATGTTCTAGATCTAGGATTACTGCATCTTGAGAAAATAGATTATATGGAAGACCTAAGCGTATAAACATGAATTAACTAGAATAGTCTCATCAACTCCGCAACGAAGATTCTCAGCTATTGGAAATACCAAGAGCATCCCTAACTTCAGCAGCATGTTTGATGAAGTTTAGAACTGGGGAGTTGGAATATAATTGAAGATGAATTAAAAATTAATGAAAAAATGTTTTTCAGTTTAAACGTCGCATTACCTTACCCATATTTTTTTTAAATTTATATATGATGTTTGAGTTTTCTAACATCCTCTGACTGTACAAATATATAACTATCTAACAGGGTTATTTTATAAAATACTGACAATCTTGCAGGACTATATTACTAACATCATAAGCAACAACTTTTGTTCCACGACTTTTAATAATTCATCGCATTTTACTTTCATACAAAAATAAAAATGTTTAAATAGATCGCTGTAAACGGTAATAACTCTGTTGTGTAAAAAGCAAGAGCGCGGTTAGGGGTAGTCGGGGAGGACGCATGCCTGTTTGAACTTACTACCAAATACAGGTCTAAAGTGTCATAGTACAACAAAAACTAAAAAGTATATTTGGTAAATTACGTTTTGTAAAAAGTCATGGAACAAAAATTGTTGTATATGATGTTAGTAACATAGTCCTGTGACGTTGTTAGTATTTTAAAAATAATCCTGTATATAAAAAACAACAAATGCACTACAAAAGTCAGCTGTTAAGTATAAGTTGTTACATGACCTCACTTTTAATAAATCTCATGTAACTCTGATCCGCAGAATTTTTAGTGATCGTATGACAATAATAGGGTATTAATTAATAAGCACTTTCATCTTCCTACATCTTGGCCCAAAATTGTATGACAGCGAATCGGTCTCCTTTCATTTTTATATAATATATTATACAAATTCTACTATCCATATGAACACGGATTGAATTCTAAATTGAACTCAATATTTAAAAAAAACGAATTAATTGGATCAATAATAGCTAGAAATTAATGTTTACAAAACAAAATGAATACTGTTTGAACAGTATTACCAAAGACTCCATTCAAAATCAACTATACTTATAAAAACTCTAGAAACAGTAACCTTAGCAACATTGTTGAGAATAGAAATCTGCTGAAAACCGCACTAGTAATAAACTATCCTTATTATCTTATGCGTTGGGACATTTAAAGAGGGTTACACACTTCAAACAGCTCTGGCAATTTATTATGCGAACTACTTTCATGCTAGATTCAGGTATGGCATCGTATTACAGTACCGAAACAGACAATTTTTTTTATTCTAATAATAACCTCAGTACAGAGTACTAAAAAAACCGACCTCAAAAGTTCGTGGAATTACATTGAATTGCGCGCAAAATAGGCGCTTTGTCGTCGAGTTGCGGACACCAGCCCGTTGCACCAAGTACCAAGTACATTTAATTGCAAAGTTTTATCGAAATCGGTTACTGGAAAGTACACGAAACCGGAAAACATTCATCCCCTAGTTTGCCACTCTTAAAGGTGGGATATCAAATTTCAATAGGGCCAATACTGAGGTAACCATATCGAAAACATTTTTGTTTTCGATATTTACTATATATTATACTTTATATATATATTTACTATACAGAATTTACTTACCTAATATAAGCCAAATTCTGAGATAGATATCTTTTGCGCTGGGACTGGGTTAATTTTCTATGGGCTGTGACCCTTCTCCTCTGTTTTGCCGCCTTTTGGATTTGGAGCATCGTAGCAACAACTCTTTAAAATCGTTTAAAATAGTTTGTTTGTCTGTTTTATCGACTGAGAAACTATAGTGCTAAGCTCTAGATTATGAGTCAAGTCCCTCTTCCTCGAACCCAGCTTTACTTTCACCCCACCTGACCCTATACGCATTTCGTCGAAATGTGAACCGATTTTGATGATTCTTTTTTTGTTGGAGAGAGGGTCAGTGGCCCCATTTAAGTTTCAAGAGAATATTCCAAGGGTGGCAAACGAGGGGTTGAATCCGGTTTCGCGCACTTTCCGGTAACCGATGTCAATAGAACTTGGCAAACAAATGGAATTCCACGAACTTTTGAGGTCGGTTTTTTAGTACTCTGTACTGAGATTATTATTAGATATGTAGTTTCGTAGTAAGTTCAAACGTGCAAGCGTCCTTCTCGACGACCCCTACTTGTTTACACTTTTTCACAAAGTTATCACCACCGTTTAGAGCGATCTATTTAAATGTTTTTATTTTGTGCGAAAATAAATCTGAATTATTAAAAGTCATGGAACAAAAGTTGTTAGTAGTTAGTATAAAAAACCGGGTTCCGTATATAAGATCGCAATTCATTTGGTCGATTAACATGAGGTTGATTGAATGTTAGATTTTTCTGTTACTGATCGAATAAACGACTGACGAAATTACGTTTAATAGAAAGAACTATTTACTTTTGTGTTACTGATCGATAACATTATTTGTTGATGCACGTTTGGTCGAAAGAACGACAGATCCTAATTTTGTAGATCGAATCAATCCTTTATCGATTACCGTTAAGTCAATGGACAAGTAGGTATCTGTCATAGAATGAATGAAAGTCCTACGAATGATCGACCGATTTACATAATTTTGCGTTTACAGTTTCAGTACTTTCAGTTTCTTTGTCCATGTGGAATTTTAATTCTATACTATAGTTAGACGAAGTATGTATTTATGTGTACCATTACAAATAAGCAATATAATGTGCAATAAATAAATAAATAATCAAGTAAAATATATCTGAACTTCCAGTCAGATAACACGAGGTCGAATAACTTGATTTAAATCACATGTTGCTTTGAATTTACGTTGTAGTTGTTACTTTGGAACAGATAATCGGAATTCAATCAACAACATAAACGAAGAATAAAGCGTTCAACAATAGGTGAACTCAGACCAAAG